TTTAGACGCAAAAAACGTCTTATGACCTAATTTTGGACACTTTTTGTTGTTTAGGTATGTTTAATTGAACGTAAAGGTTTTAGGCGACTGATACAAGAGTGATGTTAAAATTGACAAAATTATAAACAAAATTGTAACATATATACAACTGATTTGCAAAAATTCAGATGTTTTTCAAGTTTTGACATCCATTATATCGAGTCCACAATTTTGAATTTGTCATCTTTTCTGCCATTGAATATAAATCCGATGTCAATTTTGACATCGGATTTATATTCAATGGCAGAAAAGAGTTTAAATAAATATAGTTGAAAGCTATTTGTTAAATCATCAATGATTGAATTCACAGCTCTTCCGTAATAGATCCCATATTTAACTATGAATATTTTATTAACATATAGCCGATACTAAAAAATCCTTTTGAGAGTTGAAAGTTCTGGCAAATTTTAATTGAAATAGAACTTCCCTAGTACGTCACACATCATAGTTATAATATGACAGAATATGTAAAAATAGCCTTTTTTATAAATTGAATTGCAAATCTAAATTTTTATTAATTTCTTAAAATTGTAACTTGATTCGTATTCTAAAAAAATTATAAAAAAAAATGACTAGTCTTGTTTCAGTGATCGAAAAAGCCTTTTTTATCGAGCAATGTGTTATATGTCATATTATTACCTAATTATTATTATGAATTTATTAAAGTAGAGTCAGTTCGATTTCTTCCTCCTGCTTTAAAAAGTGAGATATTTTCTTTATTTTTTACACGAATGTCAATATTTTGCATTGTATATTTTGCGACAAAATTTTTTATTATTGTAAGCATTAATCGTTATTGATTGTTTTTAATCTAGCATGTGAAAAAGAAGCACAGAGACATTTTGTTTCTCTCTGATATTTTACTTTGAATGGAATATTTTAATTACCGTGAATGTGTGCTACGTAAAATGAACATGCATTTTGCACAGTTTCTGACGTAGGAATGCAAAAATTAAATTTCGGCGTAGCCATCAACGACGTTATTTTTGAAACAACAATCACGTGTCATATCACGTTTATTTGGAACTTGCTCTTGTACTATACATTTTAAAAAGGGAAATACTCTTTATTTCACATACTTATTACTTATCACTATTTCGAAATATTCAAACAGAAATATTTTGTATACAAAAAATGCGCTACTGCATCATATATTTTAGGACAAAATTTTTTATTATTGCAAGCATTAATACGATAATCATTACTGTAATGATTGTTTCTGTTATACAAACAAGACACTGTTTCTCTCTGGAATTTATATTTTAGATGAAATATTTTAATTACCGTAAGTATGTGTTACGTAATGCGAACAATTTCCCTAACGCAAGCAATCTGCTTGTGTAATTTGCACAATTTCTGACGTAGAAAAGCTAAAATTAATATTTCGGAGTAGCTATCAACATAGCTTCTGAAACAACAATCATACCATCATGCCACGTCTATTTGGATGTTCGTGATAAGCAGGTATTTATGTTAGCGAGATGTATTAATGGCGTCGCTGTTTCCTCGATGAATATTCGCGTGACAAACGAGAGACGTCTTTCCTTGAAACATTGGCAGCGTGAATTGCGGAATGGGAGTTAGTGAGTAACTCTTACGACAAAGTGTTGAAGGGCTTCCGTTAGTAATTGTCATTCAAGGGATCTCGTTGCAACGCGGTTAGCCATGTACGTTCAAACTACATCAGCTTTCGTAGTGTATTGTTATAGAGTGCTCTGAATAGAGATACACATCGAATGTTGTCGTCGTCACTGACACTCCAATTCGACTCGACTGATTTTCCTTGACGATTGCTTTGACTGCAGAGACCCGACAATTTGTAGCTAATTTTCTTAATCATAAATATTACGGCAGTTTAACTATAGAAATTTAAATTAAAATTAAGATAATCAGTTCAAACCTCTGGTTGGATAATCTAATATGGGTTGGATAATGCGCGCACGTTATCCATTGACGCTCTTGAAGCTCAATTCGCTAAAATCTTCTAACTTTTCTGAGGATCAAATAACTTCGCTACTATCAGTGTACGTAAATGATCGCCGTTTTTTTACTGTTGCATTTTGTTGAAAAGCATATCCGTTGTTTTTAGAAGACTTTGTAAATAAACTTCTCGATACTTTTAGCAAACGATAACATGCAGCGTTCGTGTTACGATGATAGCCTGGCAAAACGGTGTGACTATCAATGACACTGATTAATCCTGGAACATATAAAATGGATCTCTCCAATTGAAATTTCGCTTGCTCCCTACATAAAAGAAAAAGTACAGTTTTATTTTATAACTTAATAATATAAAATTTTTTGATATTACAGTCTATATCTCTAAATCTCAGAGCTTTAAAATAAAAAAAAAGAGAATCTAAAAATATTAATCTGAACCAAAGTTACAGCCTATCAAAGTTACAGTTAGGATGCGTTCCGAGTTACGCATGAAGCGCATGATGCATTATTTGTCCTTGTTGTTCACCAAATAATAAAGAAGGATAAAATGATACATCACGCGCTTCATGCGCAACTCGGAACGCACCCTTAGTCTTCCCGATCCATGGTGTATGTTTTCAGAATTTTCTGTGTGTATTCTAGGAAGGTGTGTATTCTATAAGGATTAAATAGGGATAATCGAGCGCCGTATCCGTCGTTAATACAGTTTGCCATTCATGGAGCATTTGGATATTCGACCCATATCCAAATGCTCCATGAATGGCAAACTGTATTAACGACGCCGACCGAGGCGACTACAAAAATAGCTCGTCTTGCGATCCTTTCGACTCCGTTCGCAAGCTTTCAAGCAATTTAACGGCACGTCTAATTTAATTTGTGTGTTTACATGTCCATGGACTTAGCCGAGCAAGGGAGATCGATACCGGTGGACCACGCTTAGGCTGGAATGATTTGTTGGCTAACTGCCATCGTCGTAAATTCTATTTTCACAGATACACGCGGCCAGATGCGTGGCGTGATCGTTTCGACCGTAAGATTCGCAAACTGGGCTTGTCAGGAGGAAAAGATCGAAAATAAGAATGCTTCCTGTGAATTCCTTATGAAATTTTCCATTTTAAAAGAGCTTTTTTTGGTGGATCCGCTGACTTGACTCCAACTTGCAGTTTTGCGCAGAGATGTGTATACGTAATTTGCAGAAGAAAAGCTAGAAATATCAGACAAGATAGACATTCGAGACAGCAATGTTTTTCGAAATAACATGAAAACTTTGTGTGTGGGTGTATGTGTGTGTATTTATGACAGTTCATGTAATTCAGATTTATATTTTCGAAACGTACATGTATAACAATTCAAAGCATAAGCGCAGTGAATGCAAAGTCACCTAATTTAGTAAGTCGAAAACATAATGGATAGTTTATATTCCTAAACTTCTCTCTGGTGAATAATATGGCAGGATAATTTAAATTTTAAACACTTCAGCAATCAAAGGTATTGCGTAGGATTGCGCCACGTTTTGCTATTTTGTTGTTCGCAATTAATCAGAAGTTCGATGACTGGTAATTTAATAATGGTTGGATGAAGAGAATTTCAGGGCTTCACGATGATTGCATCAAACGCGATGAGCAAACTCCACGAGCGCTATGGTCTATTAGTCGGTTCTCGCATGATCTTATTCGGATACGCGTCGGTAGTTGTACGGATACAGGATGTCAGTTAGAGATAGATTCGTGTCGAAAGTCGTGGACAATCGTTAATGCGTAGGAGTTGGCCGGACTCCAGATAACGTGCGAAAAGCCACAGTTTCTCGCGCTTTGGTACACGACGAAATCAAAACTACCGAACGTTTGGAAACACGAATAGAATATGTAATAATAACATGTACGACACGATGGATATACTCCGAAAAATTCGTATTTTAGATACTGCAAAAAATGTTTAAAATTTCTTCCCTACAAAAATAGAAATAATATACTTGAATTTCTTTTCATCGTGACACACAATCATCATGACGATTTTTTAACCGTTTGAAAGCTTGCTGAAGCAGAATAAACTTAATGAATAGATTTTTTATTACTTTTATGTGCTTTATGTTTGTTTTTATTAATATTATGTTATTATTATTATATGTTACGTTATATAACATGATGCCGTTGGTTGTTTTTGTAATTGGTTGGTTGATTCACAAAAATAGCACATCATATTTCGCATTGATACACAATCTTCTTTTAGTATTTTGTTAGGTTTTGGAAAAGTGCTTTTTATCGATTAATGTCGTGCCGTCCACGACTTCGATAAGCTCCAAATAATTGGCTCGTTGCCAGGGTTGCGAAAAGTGATCAGTCTCTTACCAATCAACGATAGCGAGAACTATCAATCGCGTTTCTGACCTTCGCGACAGATCGCGTAAAATGGTTTCATCGAAGACTTACGATTAGTTTCTTTCTGCAGGAAAGCTCTCTACCACCTGCTGATCTCAATAGAATGGAAATTGAATCGATTTGTTCTGACGTAGATACAGGGACTGGGACAAATGTGAATAGTTGTGGAGGCGTAAAATTGGCGCGAAAATATCGATTCGATGGTAACTGAGGTAGAAATTAGGACAGAGATCATTTTCGTCCAGCATATCGAAAAGAAATATTCGACCCATAGTCAATTTGCGCCCCTCTCAAAATAAATGTATGAAACCACAAACACACACACATACCCGACGATTGCGTAATGCGGTCGCTCTTTTTCCGCAGATCGTATCGCGCTACATTTATCACTTCAGCCTGGGCGTCATTAGGTGTTCCGCTTAGCATAAAGTCATTTTTATTGTATATCCTACATTTATATAATTTAAAGTGAAATAAAAAATATTGTTATAAGAAATGACTTTTTAAAATATTAAAAATATATTGAGTATGGAGATTTTTTTAAAAGATAAAATGTTTTAGAAATAATCTATGAAATATGTATACATATGTTTTCTTTGTGGATCAAGACTTCAAATTTATCGGTATTTGTTTCTGTTCCAGATCTAGTGCGGTTCGGACATTGACGTATTTCATTCTTGTAACTTGTCAATAACATCAATCATGGAAACGCAAACTGAGGTAAGTCTTTACATTCTTTGTAAAAATTAATTTCAAAATTTTAAAACTCTGATTTTAAGGTGCACATGTAAATTATTTTACTCTCTACCTGCGTGAAAATATATAAATTATCAGATTTTATCGATCAAAAATATATACAGAAATGATGTGCATTTATATTTTATGTAAACAACTTTCATCGTATTTCCAAAGTCCTTTTGCATTTTCTCAAAATGAACATGAAAGCTTGTTATGGAATATTTAATACGATTTTCTACTATCGTGATTGCATGGCTAAAATTTATACGAAATAGCGTATCCAGATATATGCGTTTGCTAGAAGTTTTAACAAGCCTTAAAATTTTTTATGTGTAAGTAAAATTCGATAATTTATCGTTCCATTCTGAGTAACTTTATATAAGAGATATATTTGTATATAATACTTAGAGAATAATTTAGAAGTTTTAAAGTTTATAATACATGAAAAGATAATGAAAATTTTAGTCAATACGCTTAAGAGTCAACACCTTTTCATATACAAGACGTTTTATGTTTCAGCATTTTAAACAGTTTATTTAAAGCATTTCTTTGTTCTCGTGGTTCTATCGTAAATAAAGCATTGAAACTTTGATGTCACTCACGATCTTCCGTTATTTCACTTTAAATTTTTTAAACGTTTATACAACCTACATTATATAAACTCAGAATTTAAAATGTTCTAAAATACAATGATTGATGAAAAAATACGATAATATTTAAAACTATGTAAGGATAGATATTTTTTTACAAATTTTTCAAATCTTTATGTCAGATTCTATTGATACGATCTTACAATAAAATGCGTAATAATCATAAAATGCATGTGAATATACTTTTCTGAGTTGATATTGCTAGAATTAAAATGTTAATAAATATAATATAATTTAAAGAAAAAAATTTTAAACTTGCTGAAAAATCTCTCAGGTTTGCACGAGAATATACTTTTCTAAAGTTAATATTTCTAGAATTAAATTGTCGATAAACATAATACGATTGAAAGAAGAAAATTCTAAATTGATTGAAAAATCTCTCAGGTTTTTAAGAAATTATTATGTTGAACTCGTTCTGATTATTTTCGCATGGATTCTTTTTATTAATATTTCATCGTTTTGCCGATATAATGAAGCTGAAAATAATCCATTATGTCAATGTACTCCGTCGTATCAAATCGGCTTTTAGACGTGGTCGATTAACCGATATTCCCCTTTCCTCCTCCTTCTATCATTCAGGGAATCCTCTCGCGAGCCCTCGAATCGAAGGTAGTCATCAATCAGCAACTCAACAATGTGAGATCTTGAAAACGATCGACAAGAAGGAGGACGTGAAGATAGATCTGACATTTCCTTGAACGATAACGGAAGTCGAGCTATCGGTTGCATTAAACTTGTCGGTACATTAGCATATCTCTTTTTTGCAAAAGTGCTACTTTATTACATAAATATTTATTTATACTACGAATTGTCATTTCTTATACAAATTATATAATGACGCAAGTATTATACTGAAGGATTGCTCGCAAAAAGTACGCTACGATGTAATATTAGTAATTGCACTTTAACATTGCGCGGACTTTGCCTCATTGGAAAAATCCATTGGATCATTTATTACAAAAACAACGTTCATCCGTTCTTATTTTTTTTTTCTAAATTATGAGACTTATAGACAATTTCATGGAGCTGGATCTAACTATTTATAAAAATAAATGACATTTGATGCAGCTCTGGATTAGAAAAACAGAATTTATTTCCATATCTTTATTTCTTGGTCAATACGTATCCACCTAAGCAGTGCTACTTTAAGTGAAAATTTTTAACACTTAGAAAATAAAATTTATTTTTAAGTATTTTATAGTATAATTTTTGATATAATATTAATGAAAATTACTTACTTTATAATATTTAAAATAATAGATACTTTTTATTTTTGTTTGCAAACAAAAATTGTTCCTGAAATAATTTGATTGAAACATGCTTCGAGATTAGCCAATTTGAAATTTTTCATGATAGAGATGAAAAATATCTCGGATTGTTAAAAAGTTAAAGTTTAGTAAATTTATTAATTTAGTAAAACTGTTTGGATTGATTATTTATTCTGAATATTTTTAAATTACAATGCTATCTGAATCCGAACTTTAATTAATTCATCGTGCAATACTGCCTATTATTCATTTATATAAAAGAAGTTTAGTTTAAAGCATATACCGACGGACTTTAAATTGGAATTTTATTCATTTATAAACTGAATAACGCAAGCGGAAAACGATAAATCATGGTTATACATGTACCAGTAGGTGGAACAATGGTATACGTCGTACTTTCCTCATTAAAACAAGAGATTTTACGAAAGCACTTGATAGAAAATTTATCTCGTTTATTGTAGTATGTTATCCTACATAAACGGCAAATCTAAAATTTAATATTATATATAATTTGTGTACAGAAGAAATTGCCATTGTATTATACGATTTTATGTTTACTTGATTAATATGCTATTTTTGTAATTTATCGTTTGTTCATTTCTTCTGAGCTTATGCAGCAGTATTTTTCCGCTTTCTAGCGTGAAATTTAAAAGAAATGCAGCTATTTTATGAAAGCTACATTATTGTGGCAACTTGATGGCAACTTTACGGGCGTGTCCTATATACATACATATACATACATGTCTTTATTATTACGAGCATCACTGCTAAAAGCAACGGTCAATTTTTAGATAGCAGTAGTGCTTGCTATTGCACGTAGCATTATATTGTGAATTACCTATAAACTAGATAGCGTTGACGTAAGATAAGCGCGTGATCTCTTAGAGCACACGTTCCTGCATGTACTGCAACTAACGATAATTCTTATTTACTGCACATATAAAAATTCTTATGCTACAAACTTCTTAAGAGTAATTCGTTTCTCGATACTCGCTCTTTATTTCAAAGCACAACAAAATAAAGACATATTTTCTTATCTTATTAATTAGTGTTAATTATTTAATTTTAAAGCTTGCTTTTTGAAATTGATTAGCTTATAATATTGATATCTATATTATCGGGAGATAAAAATCGAGCAAAAATATCTTGTGCTAAATACACGATTAGAATACGAATGACTGACAAAAGTCACTCGTTAGGCACAGTTATTCGATATTCATTCAAATAAAACTCAGAATGGATCGACTATATTTAACGCGACATGTGTGTGGTGAAGAAATATGGGTTAAGGTTTTTTTTTTTTAAAAAAAACGTGATTGCCTCGACATTGAGTTAGCGAGACGACTGTACCAGTGTTAAAATAGAAAAGCCTGCTCCATAATTGAACATCGAAATCTTGTTACTTTCGGTTTTGATCTCACTCAATTTTATTTTCGTTTTACTTTGGTTTTTCAATTACTATTCTCTTCCTCCCACCATCCGTACATGTAGCGCATTTCAATCATCAAAAATGCGGACGATGATGTATATTTTCTGTTGTAATTTAATTTTCTATTGTAACAAAAGATATGATACGTAAAACGTAATGGCACACGACGATTGTGCATGCTCGATCTTTTTCAGAACTCATTGTCAGTTCGTCAACGATAATGCATTACAAAGTGATCGAAAACTTCCAATAAAAACGCTTTTAATTGCTGTGTGAAAAATTTGTATTCAATTGTTCTTCAGTTACTTACATTAAAACCATTAACGCACATTTACATCTTGTTTTACTTTGCATCAGTTTTAAAGTGTTTTTACATCGCATGAATATCTTGTTTCACTCAGGTGGTGTGGAATTACTGCCGTAAAAATACCAGTGATCTAGGTATATACACATGCTTTTTTGGCGTGGCGTGAAATTTCAGTGAAATGTAAATGCATACGAATCTTCCGGCAAACGGATGTGTTTAATTGAATGTTAATTGACGGTTCGCTATTTACCGCTCTGTTTGATTTAGGAGAACCATGTCACATTTATGAGATATGGGAATCGTCGATTTTTCGCGAATAATTGTCGATATTTGTCGTTCGTATTTATTGAATGTGGTTTGGAAATGGTTTACAGACAGTTTATAATCACAAACGCAGTGATAGAAGAAAAATTATATTAAAAATACATGTTCCCGGTAGAGATTTAACGTTTTGTTTTTACAGAAAATATTTGATATTTTTATAACGAACTGAATTTTTCATTATACTTTTTTATTAAAATATTTTTTTATTAAAATAACTTTAATCATGCAATACTGAATGTTTCTCTGCTAATATAAATTTATTTTAGATAATGCATTATATTATTTGCGAACAATATTTTACGAGATTAAAATTATAATACATATATAATCTAAACAATATGTAAATTTTTTATTTTTATCTCACAAAGAGTATATAAAGGATATATAAAGAAGGTATATAACACTGAAGTTGTATACATCAACGATTATACTCGATAAAATAAATTATTCGTTGCGGAAATAAGTAAGAGCTTTTGTTCATCGAAATCTGCTCGTAACGTAATCCGTATGTGATATTCAGGTATACATGGCATTACCGTACAAACTAACTAATTAATGAATAAGTGGAGTTCTGTTGACTGGATAATAAATGTACGCACTGCAAAGCCGATAACGTCTGTCAGCTGGGCACTGCACGCTTATTTACGACGTTCTGAAGCGTGCCAATAATGCGTTTTTATGTTGATTGCACTTCAAGCTATAACAATGCTAGTAATTACGTGTACAATATGAATTTTATTCTTGTGAAAATGAGGTACAAAAGTGAAATTATACATAAAATTTATATTATACACACACACGTGTGTTGTACTTTATTTTAATATAAAGTTAATTAAAGTAAATATAATTTGAGCATTTTACCTTGTGCCTCAATATTTTAATATCAATATATAAAAAATAACATATGTTTCACAGAAAATCGTACTTAAAAAATATACTTTTTATCATAAATTAATGTTCGTGTTACAGACGATTTGACGCATATTCTTGCGGTAGGGAATAATTAATATCTAAACTACAATGTATAATGATTATTTGTATGATAAAATTTTGCGAATATCCCGACTGTGCATAGAATCGAGAGCTTCTTCGCTCAGCGTTTACGGCAAAACGGCTTTGTCATAAAACGTTCCGCTTCATTATTTCATGTCGCGATACCTCGACCGGGTGCAATAACGTTCATTTCTATGCAATAAAGTTATTACGGGTCGTGTCGTAGTCCAATGAAACGATTTCCTCAATAATGCGTTGAAATCTCTAACGGCAACGATTTATATCCATTCTGCAAAGTTTCACTGCAGTCATGCTTTGCGCGATAAAATTGAAGCGATGACTTTCGAAGCGAATAATCGACAAATTGTCGATGTTGTGATGGATATCGAGAGCTAATACAGTCGAACGCGAATGCAGAAAATATTTGGAATGTAGTGAAAATATAGAAGTAGTTCGGGACAATAAAGCGCGGAATGTCAATTTTATAATTTCAATGTAAAGATATTTTTTGTGCAAAGTTCTATCATATTTTAACGTTCCCGAATATTCCAATGCTTTTGATGTACAAAATCGATGCTTAAGGAACTATTTTTAGAAACTAATATCTATTATGTCGAGGTGTTCGAAATAATCTCTAGTTCAAATTCATTTTTTTTTTATTAAGATATATATAAAACTAAAGTGTCTCGATATAATGTTCTTTTTTATAGTATTTTCTTTCTAAGAAAGGTGTTAATTAATGTAAAATATTAACGAAGGCTACATTCATATTTCTATCGTTGTAGATTGTGACGCATGTTAAATAGCCGTACGTTACAGAATCAAATTATGCCGTAACGTGTACCGGACATTTATAACTTATCTTACTTTTGCGACTGCAATTCATTAATATTCCACGCGTTGTTTGCCGAACAGATGCCGGGAAACACAACGGTGGGTAGCACGCTACTCGATGAGGAACTTCGTCGAATTCTGTTGGAACGTGAGCAAGAATGCATGAAGCTGAAAGCCGCGAATACGACGCTGCCGCCGACGGGTAAAGTATTTTATGTTTGAAAATAAGTAAAATCGACTAAGCAGAAGCAAAAATGGCGAGTAAAATTGTGCAGAAAACGCACGCAATGCGCCTTTATTGTGTGCAATGTGACATATCGCGTACTTTATCAGGCCTATTTGCTTTATCTTGGTACTCAATCGGTTAATAGTGATTGCTCATTAATATATTGGATTTTTCTAGATTAGACATTTCGTTTATTATTAACGAGCCCGTTGACAAATGGTAGAAAACAATGAAAATATTGGCATTATACGTCTGAATACAGGTGTATGTGTTAAAGTCCGCACACATGCAAATATACATACAAATTGTAATTAATTAAACATATATTTTATTAATTATAAAACACTATATGTACAGGATGAAATGAGGTTTGTTGTTTTTAACAATCGTTTTGAAATATTTTTTCGTACATATCAAAGAGATAATGATCTCTGAGGTGTTGAATTTATTTAAATAAAGGGAAATATTATTTTGTACGGCATGTTCACTTATTCTTCTTCGATTTCATTGCTATATTGTCCTTCTTTGCACAAGTGCGCGATCCGAACAAGAGTTTCTTTAATTTTCGGAAGATAAATAGCGCTATATAAAGCACTGTAATAATTACGGTGAATATAAAGGCGTAAACGTCCACCAGATTCCGTTGCCACCAATTGAGTTTAATTCCTGGTGATTGAAGCACGTTTCTGAATTTCGCTACATATTCCACCCAAAATATAGCTGTATCCAAGGCATTCATCGGTCGATCGAAGAACAGCTTCGACAGTTTTTGGACATTTTCACTGAAACGAAGAGAAGCGTTTATTGACGATCAATATAACGGAGTTGATGTTTACAGATGAAATTAATTATAACAAAACTCAGAAATTCATAATGAGCAATATTTTTAATCACGTCATGTGTTCGTTTGACGCTGAATCGTGAAATTTTAATTGTTTTTAACTGTAACAGTGCACGATTTTTGTAACGTAGATTTCACATTTTTCTTATTTTTTTTCATCCGTCCTGTCCTAGTTAAAGCGTTTGCTCTTATTATTTTTACGCGTAAAACGTATTTTATGTGGATTCGCGCAGATGAAATGGACGTGGAATTTAAAGCACATACCAATTGATTAGAATTGACTCACGATATGCATTGGAGAGTAAAGCAAGATTTGGTTACAATAGAGAGCACACGCTCTGTTTATTCCGCGATATAGAACGGTGCAACCGGTTACGGATCAATAAATGGCTAATAAGATTTAAAGCAGTGAATTTTGACTTCTGAAGTCCATTTAACGTGTGACTGTTGCACAATGTTATCATGTTAACACTAACAATAGTAAAATTACATATTTTTATTTAAACAAAATTTTGTTTCTGAAAGTAATAATAAATGAAATTATAAATATAATAGACATACAAAAATAAATAAAAAAGGCTAAAAAACTTTAATAAAAAACATATTTACTAATTGTTTCCATACATATACTGATTATTGCGAAGAATATATAAATACTAAGACCTCAGTGGTCTAAAGGTTTAGGACGCTCGCACGGAATGCTATAGAGATCCGGATTCGACTCCCGGCCGAGGTAATATTTTTCGCAATAAATAAATTTATTTGCAGATTTCCAGCGTATTAAGATCTTTTTAACAGATTGCCTATTGAGCATCAAAATTTAATTGTGATATTATTTCAGTAGTTTAGCCTGTGTTTTTAAGTTCGGAAAAATTAATTCGGCGCACAGTTTAAATGACTACAAATATACTATATATGCATGTGCATATATAGTATATACAAATTCACATTAAATTATTTAAGCATTAAAGATTCAGCTTCGACCGTTATAGCCCTTTATTTCCTATTTCCTATTGGTTGTGTTTAATAAAAAATAGTGTGTATATGTATAAAAGATACAATTATAACGTTATTATTGCACGATTACTAAACGTAACATATTGTGAATTCAGCATAGGTACGTCCTGTGTTTGCAGTCTCTCTCGCGATCAATGTTATGATTCCATTAAACCCAGTTGAACACATTATAATTAACAGACAACTGTACAATGCTTAAGCTTTCCGATGTTAATAGCCTTTGCACTTACCGATAGGAGGAATCCTTCAGAATGTTATTTAATGCCGAAGTTAATTTCTCTTCAGTAACATCGTTTATTGAGTTCAACGAAATAGCCACCTTTTTGTTGATATAATTTTTAATGTTGACTCGTTGATCACCAAACAGGGGAATTCCAATCATAGGAACTCCGTAATAAATCGTTTCTTGCGTTGAATGGAGCCCGCCATGTGTAATAAAAGCTCGTATGTTTTTATGCTCTGAAATTCATAGTGATGCTGTTTTTCCTTTATTGCGAAAATATTATATGATTGAGAGTTGCACGTGCAACCGTGCACAGATATAAGAATGATTTAAAAGATGATATAAAATATCTTCCTAGAAAACCAATTATTTGATTTTTATTTATTTTAATGTTTTAGGAACTTGATTTAACTAGTGTGATTTTTATGTTAAACCATTACCAAAACTAGTTCAAAATTTCTTTTCTGAATATGATAAAAATAGTTTTAAAATACGTTTTTTTTCAACTGCACACAATATTTTTCATTTAACATAAATAGCTAAATTCCAAAATTACTTATTTTGCAAATGCATTCTTCGCGACTTTTCGAATATATTATAAATTAACTGTAAACACACACACACACACACACACACACACACAATTAGAAAAATTTCTATCGCGAGAAAATACGGAGAGCGATAGTTTTTGGAGATACTCAATTTATGTGCAAATATATTGATGTAGTATACAAACTCTGTGAACTTTTTATATTGAAAAATGATTCTAAACGTAATTATATGACGAAATCAGTTATTTTGATGCTCTGATGTGTGACCAGTTCATAATTACGTACTGAGAACGGCGATCTGCGGGAACCATGATTGCGTCATGACATTCTTCGGTAATCCTGGTAACAGTTCTTCCTTTTTCACGATTTTCATCAGTACACGAACCGGTGCGATTTTCTCGAAAGACAAATAAATTTGTTGCAACAGTTCCTTAGGAAAAGTTTCAATCCTCACCATAGAACCGAATGAAAAGTAGATGCAGCCATCCTTGCTTTCGTCCAACCATTTTTGCACTTCCTGTATACATATATTTCTTTAGAGCAAATAATTTGTGATGTTACATAATTCTTCCTGGATACACGAGACATGTTTTTAAATGCAAGGAATTTTGAAACAAGCATATTTTAAAACTATTTCTTGCAAGAAAATATGAAATGTATTTGAAAAAAAAATTTAAATAAAAAAGTATTGAATAAAATTATTAAATATGCAACAAAAAAGTACTCATATTTCTACACGGAGAGAATTTTTTTTTATATTTACCCTGAAAATATGATAGTTATAGTATAATACAATATTTTAAAGATTTTTACCATGCGCTTCAGTAAAATTAATCAAACTTATTTTATACTTAATTGTAGTTTTATTAATGAATGAGAGAAATTTACATTAAAATTCTTCGAAATACAATGTTGTCCCACGACTATCATATTTTCAGGGTAAACTCTAAGAAAAAATTCTCTCCATGTATATTTATCATAATTGTTACACACATAATTATATATAATAATTATTAGTATATTAATGAAATATCGAATATTTTTATATATTTAATAAAAATTTAATGTAATCGCGAATCCGAGAAAGTTTATTTTCAATACGCACATTGCATGGATAAATAAGTTTAATAAAATTTAATAAAAATATATTTCACTTTTTACGTAAAATATTATTTTTTAATTTTTTTTATCAATATCACATTCTGTTTATTCAAACAATAAATTTTACATTTTCTGCACAAAATAATCATTTTATTTAACTGCAGTTATTTTTTCTTATTTTTTATTTAATCTTGAACGAGAGAGAAAGGAGAAAATGAAATTATAAATGATTTCGATTCTAGTCAGGTTTCATTGTATCCAGAAAAAAAGGTTTGTAAATAATAAAAAAAAATGATTTATGTTGAAACATACCGGTGACGGCGGATCACCCTCGTCGCTGAGATGCAGACCACCGACCTCGATCACGTTAGTGGTCATCGGTCTGATTCCATTTAACGAGTGATGAGAATTGACCAGGTATAAAGATATATCGTTGTATAAATCCTTGATATGTGGCAAGTTCATGCCGAAGTGCTCGTTTACCAATTTCAATTGCTTATTTGTATAATAATGAAATTCCCAAGAGAGATAATGCGTTACTAGGAAATTTGTCAAACGTTCCTTGAAACTCATGTGTTGGCTGTACCCCGAGAACATATTCGGAATATAAGAAGGATTCATCGGGTTGGCGGACACCTCAGAGAGCCAATCGTGAAAAACGCTGGCTACCGTACCGACCATGGGGACTTTGAGATGACGGCCGAAGGCCATGTAGCACGGAGACGCGAACATCTGTGTATATTGTCAATTGATTGATTAAGTATTTGTGCTCAATAAGTCATATCTTATAATCATTTACGTAATATTGAGTGCGTATAGTCAAATCGCACACTTGTTCCGCTGGGTAAAGATGCGCGGTAGCGCTTGGATCACTGGTCGTTTAGCAATGTAGTTAAGTTACGAAGGGACCTTGACGCGATGTCGCCTCGAGATATTACTCGTAAAGAGCAGAAACGAATTACCATTATGCCATGCGACTGCACATGGCGATGAGAAAAAATAGATATGACGATCAAACCAAGTGACAAAAGCAAACACGTACTACCATACCAGAGTAATGCGTCAGAATTGCTGATTTTGCGAGGTAATTTGAATCGTTAGAACTTGGCTCATAATTATGCATTTTTCATGAATTGTTTTTGCGAAAATAGTGTTTTTTAATCTGACAGGTTTATCAACTGATTGTTTAATTACACGTTAACCTTGATTACGTTACGTCTCACACAATTGGAAAGTATTATCT